CTTCATGGCCTTGTTTTTATTCCAGTGTTTTTAACATTTTTTGGAAACTTTGGCAGATCACCCAGTACCATATCTAAAAAACTTGGTCTTGAGAACTTATAAAGGTTGTTTGTGACTAAGTTTAGTGTTTTGTAATTTTGAATTTATAATTTAATTTTTCTTATTTTTTATTTATTATATGTAGATTCAATTGTAATGACTCTCAGGGAATATAAGACATGAAGAAAATGAAAGGAAAAAAAAATAAACAGAGCAGGGAAGTAAAGGCTTCAGAAAAGCCAGGCAAGAAAAATAACAGAAGAAATTAAAACTTAGAGATTTGCATTTCTCATTTTTGTGTCAACATCTTAATGTTGTTAAATGTATTTTTTGTGTTTACTGAATGTATTAAAGTTATTATAAACACTAACCACTGCGTCAAAATCTGCTACCATGGAGGGTTTCTTCTGACTGAGCAAGTGTGACAGGGTCTGCCTCTGTTTCCTGTGACTTCTGGCCTGTTCCATGAAATCCAGTAGACAGGGCAGGATCCTTCTGTTTCCTCCAGAACAGTTTTTGAAAGAGTAGTGAAAGAATGAAAGCTCATATTAATCTTAGAAGAAATCTGCTCCTGAGCTGCAAGTCAAAATCCCGTGCTGAATCCCAGAATTACAGCTAGCAGCGTTATGTTTCCAGGACAGGGCATTAACCACAAACCTAGATTTGAGAAAAAACAAATGCACTAAAGTGCACAACCTCAGCACTAGACTCCCCACTTCTCCCATTAAATGTTTCATGGTGCATACTAATGCTCTAATGGCAAATGTTGCAGCCATTTATGCATTGATGATGCTGTGGAAGGAGCAGATGATGATCTCACGTTGCCAACACCAGAGGAAGGCCTCTTAATAAACATGTATGAGTCATGGGTTTGGAAAAAGTGAAATCTACTTCTGAGGGAAGTAGAGAGAGCAGCTGTCCTGGGGTGACTTTATAATGCTTAATTGTATTCCCATTCGTCTGTTTAACCCAGAAATAAGTTTTGTACGTTTAAAACTAGATCTGAGAGTGAAGGGGGGAGAAGGAGAAGCAGTGGACTGTCTGAGGCGGTTGTATATTCAAAAATATATCGATAAGAGCTTCAGCTTTCCTTCTCACATACTGTGTTGTCTGCAGCAGGAGAGGGCTCTCCTTTGCTTTTATTTAGTTTTTTTAGCTAGCTGAGTCAAAGAAGTTCCCCAGACTGTGGCTTTTCTTCTGCTTGGAACTGCTCAGCCTGACTCTGGACTGAAAATGCAGAAAAGCACCAGGAACTCACACTTGTGGCCCACTGGGGCCCAGGATTTGGCATTTTCCAGCACAGGAGGGACTGATGAGAGACTGAATGACCTAAGCTACGTTCTACAAAAAGGACCTTCTGAATTTGCCATGTCTTCAGAACAGCAAGAGTTTTATTGTTTAATATTACTAATTTTTTATGTTTGTGAATACTTTGCTTGATAAATAAACAGGTTTTTTCCACTTTTCTCCATGGAAATATTTTCCCAAGTCAGTATGGGAGAGTGGCCACTTGAATCTGCTTTCTAGAGAGACGCCTTTGAAAATTTCCTTCCAAACTCGCCCTTAAACAGGACAGCAGACTGTTTAAAGTGCTTACTCTCACCTCTCATCGTGTTGTTTGACCATGTTTTAGAAGCAAAAATAGCTCTCTTTGCTTCTAGCCCAAGTTTCCAAGAAGATCAATAGAGCAGAAAGTTAGAGCAAGCCATTCCTAACTTCATGGCCAGTTTAAAGGAGTTAAGATTTAAGAAACTCTTCTGACATTTCAGTTGACTCAGGTGTAGACAGTTGACAGAGTAGGAAGCAGCCAAAAGGAGCAGGCCACAACTTTCACTTGAAGTTTGCATTTTCTTTGTATTAAGCTTGCTGGTAGAATTCTGGCACGCCAGCCTCAGGAATACAGAAAATTCAGAATTATGTCCAAGTTTGAATTTCTTATTTTTAAGTGCCACCCTCCTTGTGACCACTTCAGAGGTATTTAATAAACAGACGGTCTATCTAAGCACTTAGCTCTACCCAATTTTCAACATCAGGAGACTAAAAGAAACTGAGGTTATCTCCCCTCTGACTGATTTCTGGAAGCTGCTTTTGTGGTTGTGATGTGTTGACCCTGGCTGGACACCAAGAGCCCACCAAAGCCTTTCTATGTCTCCCCTCCTTAGCTTCCTCCTTAGG